ATAATAATAATAATAATAATAATAATAACTGCAAGCAATCAACATTGTATTGTACCATGATAGAATAAAAAAATTAATGTGTTTTCATTCACTACTGATTACACCATCAATTAATATCACACAAAATAATCGACCATTACATACCAAGTACACTGGTTACTGCTGCCTCCGCTGATATGAACAAGATCGGATCGAGGCTCTATAATTACATTATATTATATTACATTACATCTGAATCCATCTGCTGAATCTCCCATATCTGAATCTCGCCCACCTCTATAAAAATATATTTTATGTCGTCGCATAAATTCGCAGACACGTCAGAAGCACCCAAGCAGCTTCCGCTAGACAGCTGTAGCAGCATGGAGAGTCTGGCTTCGTCGCAGAACGACACTCCCACGTCTCCCACCGCATCGCCGACGACGCCGCCGCCGTCCCGCGACAGTCCGCCGGCAGGGGGCGACACCGATCGCGCGGACGAACCGGCCGGTATCACGCTCGCCCTGCAGCATCAGTCCAGGTGAGGACGCCATCTTGAAATTGCGGGAGTTACGGGAAGACGCTTTTTTCGTTACTGTGCGGGACGCGTTTCCCCCTCTTGTATAATACAGATGTACGTGCAATATTTAATTCCCCTCGTATAATACACATGTACAATATTATATATTATACATTATTAAATATTGTACAATACACGTTTATATATATGCCACTCGCTTGCTCTGGATGTTGGCTGTGGCTCGCCAAAGTTACAGAGATGCGCCTTAATTGCTATCTAAGACCTCCGCCTCTAATACTATTTGCTAGTATGGGTTAGCTACACTTCTGCTACCCCTACTACTACCTATTATTGCTTGTTATACCTGGCTATCTAAGACCTCCACCTCTAATACTATTTGCTAGTATGGGTTAGCTTCCTCTACTACTACCTATTATTGCTTGCTATACCTTGCTATCTAAGACCTCCGCCTCTAATACTATTTGCTAGTATGGGTTAGCTACGCTCCTGCTACCCCTACTACTAACTATTATTGCTTGTTACCTTGCTATCTAAGACCTCCACCTCTACTACTACTTAATTGCATCTGTTGCAGGATTAGAGCGATGTACATCAGCACAGACAGTGGCGGCGACCGCAGCTCCATCGGCAGCGACGGCCAACCGGGCGTCGTCGCACGCCTAGAGGGCGCTCCTGGCACCCGGCGCGCCCACGAGACGATCTACGCGCGCTCGACTTCCCTCACCAACGGTTACCATAGCGACACGGCCGCGCGCCACCACGACGCCATATACGGGAGCGCGCAGACGCGCAGGCGTGCCGCGCCCGTCGCCAACGGTTACCATAGCGACGCGGGGAGGAGCCTGGAGCGGGGGCGGCATCGCGGAGGAGGGGGGGAGTACGAGTACTTGAACGGCGTGTCGAAGATGGCCGCCGCCGCGGAGCGAGACGAGCGCGTGAAGGACATCCTTCAGACGTCGATCGCGAACGACGCGTTCTGCGTCGACCCGCCGAGCCGCACGAACAGCACTGTCAGCCTCGTCCGCCAGGTGGCGCCGCGCGGCTCCAACACGTCGCTGTGCAGTTCGAAGACGGGAAGCAATTCGGCGACCGACATCGCTCTAAAGGTGAGCGATCGAATAAAATATCTATCCGCGTTCGTTCCCTTACGCGTGCTGCATGGCCGTAGCCAGAGGTAAATTTTGTAGGAGGCTAATGCTGTGAGTTAAAGAACAAGGTGCGAAGCGAGGGTATGGGGTATGGGGCCCGCTTAATTATTTTTTTGAGAAATTTTGTAGGAGGCATTTGCCTCCTATTGCCTAATGGTAGCTACGGCTCTGTCGTGCTGCATTCCGCGACAGGCTAACAAACCCACGCTGGAATGTTTGTCGTTGTGAAACGGTCACTTGTACTTATATATAAAGGTTACTTTACTGAAATGTTACTGATATTTGTAAAGGGCTGTGTAGCGAAAAGGTTACAGATGTATAATTGTGTAATAACAACCGCGTTCACTAATTCTGCCCATAGATGGCGTCGCTCTCACTTAACACTCGCGACAACGCCAGCGAAAAACGTCGGTGATTGCGTTTCGGTTCGAATTTTCGCTAACAGATGGCGTCGCCTTCTCTCTCCTCCCCCGCACAGGTGCTCGCGGAGACGCATCGTGAGAGGCAAGCCGTGGAGCATCTCCACCAGACCTCTCTCAGCGAGACACGTCGCTTCGCTTTCTCCCAGCGGCAGTCGTTCGGCCGAGGCACCGACGGCAAAGGACCGCTGCGTCCTCGCCGCGAACACTACGCAGAACCCTACCTGTGTCCGCCCGAGCAGCAGCGCCCCCTGCTGGAGCAGCCGCCGCCGCTGCAGCGCCACCTGGGGGAGAGCGACGGCGAGCGGGGGAGCCACCGGCGATCGATCTCGCCGCTCGTGTCTGAGTCGTCGACGCCGGAAGCGGACGCGTACCGCCGCGTCGCGCCGCCGCCCGTCGTTGCCGCGGCGACGACCGGCCACGCGCGCCCGCCCGCCTACCACCAGGTGGTGCACGACCCGCCGACGTACGCAGACTACATGAGCAGCCCCGGCGGCCACCGCCGCGGGTGGCCACTAGGGGGCTCCGGTTCCCTGCGCCGCGCCACCGCCGCCTCGTCGGATTTCTCGGACTACCGCAGCAGCATCGAGACGCTGACGGACGCGCACCAGCAGGGGGCGCTGACCGACGGTCATCGCTCCTACTCGCAGTCCAGCCTCGGCTCGGACGGCTCGGCTAGTTCCGCCGGACGCTCGCGCGCCGCGCCGGCGCCCCCTCGCCGCCGCTCCTCGCTCAACAACGACGTGCGCGAACTGCGAAAGTCCTGCTACGAGCAGTTTCCGTCGCCGCCAGAGGGCGCCGTCGTCGCGCAGAGCGACGCCGAGCAGCGGCGGGACGGCCGCCGGCAGCAGGGGTCGAAGGTCACGGGCATGGCGAAGTTTACGGTGTCGCGGACGTCGCCCGACTACAGCAAGGTGCGTGCGAGTCACGGCGTCAACGTGAACAGCGCCCCCTTGCAGCTGGCGGGCGGCGCGGCCCCCGCCGTCGCCGCGGCGACCAAGTCGCGCAAGAACTTTGTGATCCAGAGCTCCCGCTGCTGATTTCTGCGCGACGCCGAGACCACTCGAGACCGTCCTCCGAGGCACGTGAGACGCAGAGCGATGCCTCGCGTCTCGCTGTCTCAACGCTCTCAGATTTCTCCGTGGTGCGGGCGATGTATAGCCAGCGACTCCTCCGAGACCAAAGGCGATGGCTCGCGTCTCAGTGTCTCGGCGAAGCGCAGCCGCAAGTTCGTGAGATTGGCGCCCCCTGGCGATGACGCCGAGACCGTCCCCTCGAGGCATGCGAGACACGAAGCGATGCGTCTCGCCGTCTCGACTAAGTGCGAACCCGCGAGTCGGTGATAACCGCGCGGCAGACGATGGACGCCGCGTGTGAGCCGGAGAAAAGCAAGATGGCGGCGAGCGGAGAGCGGTTGCTATGGCAACGATTCCGGCGCTGCGTGTGAGGCAGAGAGCACCAGAGTCTTGCGTGTTTCGCGGAGCGTCCGATGTGGACGCGTTAGCTAGTTTTTGTAATTATTATTCTCGTTCGTTTTTCAAATGTAGGATTTATTTTTATTTGCCGATAAAGCCTGTACGAGTTGCGAGCGAAAAGCCGGAGCATCTACTAGTTTGTAAATACTACCACGTACGGTTCAATTATTTTGGATAAAAAGTCGCGGTATATCTTGTTTTTATAAGGCTCGTCGTATATTCTTGTATAAAAGTCTCGTTTTTATAACATGTCTCTGTATTATGGATCTTCACGCGCTAGGTATATATTGTTGAGTGCAGATGCTGATGCTATTTGTTAACGCAGTAGTTTGGGTTCATTGATATCAGATTAGTAACGCAAGTAAGCTTCAGTGATTTGATTCCACCCGTTCCTTTTATATATTTTTTCGTTTTTCAAGTGTTCTTGCTTCTCACCTGCCCATTTAAATAGGATTTCTAGCAGTTAACTGAGCTACTAGCTAAATTTTACTAAGTGCTTAATGTCTAAGTGTGTCTAAGTGCTAAGTGTTTAGAATGAAATCTGTTGATTCCGGTGTGTCCATATAAGGTCCTTATTTTAGCACGTCATTAGAATGTCACATTGATTGTACATTCTAAGGGACCTTTGATTTAATTCTATGTCAGCTCTATTAATTCGAAAAATATTTCTAGTTGTATTAGAATGATCGCGGTATTCTCTCTGTTTGCAAGCTATATTTTATGGTTTTGTGTTGTATACTTGTACCTATACGTTGTTTGTTTGCTTTCTTCTATAGTAGCAAGTATTAATTATTTTTGCACCAGCGAAGATGTACATAAAGTATATAGTTACAAAAGTTTATATATATATAATATTAATATGTGAAAATGAAAGGTACAAATAATTATATTATGAGAATGAATAAACATGGTTTGTCAAACATACTGGGTATGATTGCATTGATGAAGTCTCGTGTCGTTATTAAGAGGTCTAAACATTTTACTTTCTAATCTATTTGCTGATTAATCTAAATAAATAAAATAACTAAACCTACATAATTTAAATAACCTAATACAGGGTCCCCCAGCCTTTGAAAGTTCTTGAATTTTGTCCTTTGCCTTTGAAAGTCATTAATTTTTCCTTTTGTCATTGAAAGTCCTTGGAAATAGGTCCAAGTACTTATTTTGTCTAACGTCCTGGAATTTTACATTTTTGACCTAAAATAAAAAGCAAATCTTCATTGCTGGTTATCTGACTGACCCTATTCCAAGTCTTCCTTCAAAGTGTTAAATTTAATCCAAAATTCACATATCATTGTCTACTAATGTACCAACGTAGTTTGTTTTGTTCGTAATTTTTACGTGCAGGTGGTGTAGGTGTCTAGACTATAAGTTCACAATTTTAATATTTATTTATTACTAACTGCTTGTCACAGATGTGTGCTTGAAAAAAACCTGTCCTTGAAAAGTCGTTGAAAACATAATTCACACTTGTGGGAACCATGTACTGAGTAGGGCCTACCTAGCAGTAATAATGTACCATATAGAATCAACCATCACGAAAAACCAAGAAAATATCAATAATATCTTTTCATTCAATATCTGGTATTCTATCTATTTCTATCTATCTACATCTGATATGTCTATCTATTTATATGGTACTTAAATCTTTATCCTATCAGGTTATATTCTCGCTGGAATAAGTGATCCTTCTCTCCCAAATGGTATCGCCTATGACCTCGTTGCACGGTGAAAAGTTAGCTCATGCCAAATGGCCGGCTGGTTTTGCGCCTCAACTTTTCATCCCCCTCGCCCCCCCCGCCCCAAAAAAAAAAAACACAAATGTGGATATATCGCGCTACTAATACGCGTTATCTTTAACAGTCACACAAACACACATACACACACACTAACTGGAGTTGATCAACCGCGCACACGCGGGTATGCGTCGCACGCACCGCGTGCGCGTGTTATCTATCAGTGGCCGTAAATTTTCAGTTTGTCGCCTCGTGGCAGCGTGCAAAAAGTTTTCAGCTGAAATACGGCTCCATTTACCCTGCAAAAGTTCCATACTTGACTGGTGGGCGGCGGCGATAACTATCTGCGAGAGCGCGCGCATTAATGAGTAGTTGCGGCACTGGCTGGAAGAAACCGCGAGTGAAAGGCGGTATTATATATAAATATATAATATATATACACTTATCACACATTTATATATATATTATATATATAGCGCCCGAGAACGGAGAGAAAATTCGCACGAGAGAAGGAGGAATACAGAGAGAGAGGATGAGCAGAAGCAGAGTACGAGGAGTGACGAGAGAGAGGAGGAGTGCGAAAGAGAAGAAGAGATGCAGAGAGACAAGGACGAGAGAGAGAGAGACGAGAGAGGGTGGGAGAGGAGAGAGAGAGGAAAGGCGCGGAGGCAAAGATCGAGGAAAGAGAGAGATGAGAGAGCCAGATTTATGATCAGCGAGCGCTGCGAAAGAGAGAGTGAGAGAAGATGAGAGAGCGAGTGTGTTATGTTGTGGTGTCGCTGTGTCGGTGCGTGCTGTCGTTGTGTGTGTCGGTCTTGCGTGCTCAGTGCGTTGCGTTGCTTGTGTGCGTGGCTCGTGCGTGTAAGGAGAATATTTGCGCAGGAGAGAGACAGTGCGTGCTGTGTGTGTGTTGCTGTCTGTGGTGGTGTGTGTTGTGTGTGTGTGTGTGTGTGTGTAGTC